AATTGGTGTCTCCGGCTCCAATGCTGCTCCCCAGCAGACTACGGCGAAGTACAGTGCACTGGCCACAACAGACTGGTAGAACATCTCCAACATCTTGCTGCACACGTTGAAGGATCGCAGTTTCCTCAAGAAAAAGAGTCGACTCATCCCCTTCTTGTACACAGCGTTAATGTTGGCCTGCCAGTTCAGCCTGTTGTCGATGGAGACACCCAGGTACTTGTACTCCTCTACCATGTCCACATCCTCTCCCAGAACTTTCACCGGTTGTGGAGCCGTCGTCTTCCTCCTGAAGTCGACCACCATCTCTCTGGTCTTGGCCACGTTCAGACGCAGGTGATTTCTACCGGCCCACTCTACAAAGTCAACCACTACTGTCCTGTACTCCTCCTCCCGTCCGTCCCTTATACACCCGACCACTGCAGAGTCATCAGAGAACTTCTGCAGATAGCATGACCCTGAGTTGTACTGGAAGTCAGAGGTGTACATGGTGAACAGGAAGGGAGACAGAACAGTTCCCTGTGGGGCTCCAGTATCACTGACCACCACACCAGACAGCACACTGCCCAGTTGGACAAACTGTGGTCTACCTGTGAGGTAGTCAGTGATCCAGGAGACGGTGGACGCGTTAACCCCCACCACCCGCAGCTTCTCACTCAGCAGCACTGGTTGGATGGTGTTGAATGCACTGGAGAAATCAAGGAAAGTGATTCTCACAGAGCCACCGGATCCATCCAGGTGCGACTGAGCTCGTTGCAGCAGGTAGATGATGGTGTCGTCCACTCCCACATGAGGCTGGTATGCAAATTGCAGAGGGTCCAGTGAGGATTTCACCCGCGGTCGAAGGTGGGCCAAGACCAGTCTCTCCAGCACCTTCATCACATGAGATGTGAGGGCAACTGGTCGGTAGTCATTGAGGCTAGATGGTGTCGTCTTTTTTGGTACAGGAACCAGGCACGACATCTTCCACAGCACCGGGACTTCCTCCTGCTTCAGGCTCAGGTTGAATAGGTGTTACAGGACAACAGACAGCTGGCTGGCGCAGGTCTTCAGGACCCTGGGGCTGATGCCATCAGGTCCAGCAACCTTGCCTTGGTGGAGTCTCTCCAGCTGTCTCCTAACCTGGCCAGTCGTCACAGAGAGGGGGGGGAGGGGGGTCGTAGTGTCGGTGGTGGCAGAGCCCTTTGAAGTGGAGGGCTCAGAGTCCATGCAGCTCACCAGCAGGGACAGAGGGGGAGGTGGTGGTGTTAGGGAGGTGTGGTGTGTGGAGGAGACAGATGAGGGCTCTGAGCTAAACCTGTTGAAGAAAGAGTTTAGCTTGTTGGCCCTCTCCAGGGAGCCCCCTGGTTGCCTTTTACTGTTAGGCTGTGGTTTTATCATGTATTAAGAGAACCATCCCAGTCAGCATTTTTCCGTTGAAAATACGTTTAAAAGACGTCTACGCCCAACGTTGAAAAGATGTTCAAAAGTGAAAGTTTTTTCGCCGACTATTTGTAGACGTTGATTCAACGTTCAGGCTTAGACCACATTTCAACGTGATTTGCAATACTACAATTTTTCGTCCTCTACATTGTGCTAATAATAATATATCATCATTTTAGAGGCTTACTAAGAAACCACATCCACATTTATCAGCTGAAAGCCAGTATTGGAAATCACATTGAAATCTGGTCTAAACGTGAACGTTGAATCAACGTCTTCAAATAGTCTGCGAAAAAACTTTCACCTTTGAACCACTTTTAAAGGTGTTTTCAATGTCACCGTGTTTTAACCGTGGAAATGCTCTCAGATCAATATGTAGCAACTAAATACATAATCATAGTAACACATCATCAGTTTCCACTTACAGGACAAAAGACCAAGTGACATAGGCAACAGTTCATTTGTATTTATTCAGCACAATATAATATATAAACAATGTTCTTTATATAAAACCATAATCTCCTTCTCCTTCTTTAAATGTCGTTTTCAAAGCCACACAGGAGCCGGTTTCAGGAGATCTGCCATATTTTCAACGTGGACATCTGTAAATAAAACAAGTATTAAAAAACATATTCACTTTTAGACCAGTTTTGAACCTCTTTTCACCGGAGACCATAGACGTCTTTTAAACGTGTTTTCAACGGAACGATGCTGACCTGGATATTACACAGTATATACTTTATATTGTTTGTATATTAAGCCAAACAACAATTTGCTGAACCCACTTGTCCCATACATCCCGTATTGCTGCGAGTTTGTCACGCTCTCGTCGGCCCTGCCTTGTTTATCTGTCATCAAAGCATATGACACGGGAGAAAACATGGAATGTGTTTAGAGACATGGTGGCTGGAAATATTGCCCTTCCAGTGTCAGCAGCCCAAAGGCTTGCTGTTGCTTTGCCTTTTGACTTGTACACTCGTGCCAAAATGAGCAACCTAATGTAGGCCTGCAAGTGGGTCACATCCAAGTCTTTCCAACTGTCCCCATACACGCGCCTCCCCTCTAAATGTGTCATCTCAAGTAAATCCTTTTCGATTGATGGTGTTATGAAGAGCTCAAATGCTGATTGTATGTCTTGGACATGGCTGACAGCGTATCTGGTGGGACCTGGAACCATTTTGATGACATTAGCAGCACTGTGTCTACCCTGTTGTTCAAGTGGGGAGACGGACCATAATAACTTTCCATTTTTGGAAGGTAGTGTGTTTGGTGGTGGTTGAGAGACAACAGGAGGGTCAACACTGAGGGTCTCATTCTCATCAGAGGAGGATGCCTCATAATCAGGGTCCTCCTCAACATCATGCTCTGTCTCAGACACATTCTCCTCTATGTCACTTTCATGGTCAAAGAGATGAGACAACACCTCATTGACAGAAAACCTTTCTTTAGAATTCATTTTCAGTATTCCTAATCCAATGTTTACACAAAGAATAACAATTTCATTTCTGGATTTTTCCAACACCCTGTTTGGCTCTTACACTATTACTACTACTACTAATACTACTACTACTACTACTACTACTACTACTTTGACAGTAAAACAGTTTAGAAAGTTCGTGGGACGTTGTTTTCAGAACAGTTGCAGGACGTTGCCTTCCCAAAGTTTGTGGGACGTTGTTTACCTAAACATTCACAGAACATTCGTGGGACGTTTTGCTCACAACCTTCGCAGGACGTTGCCTTCCCAAAGTTCGTGGGACGTTGCTTTCCCAATGTTCACAGAACGTTAGTGGGACGTAGTTTTCAGAACGTTCGTGGGATGTTTTCAGAACATTCGCAGGACGTGGACTTCCCAAAGTTGGTGGGATGTTGTTTTACTAATGTTCACAGGATGTTTGCAGGACCTTGTTTTCCCAACTGCCTGCCAAACAGCTGACAGGGGATTCTTTTTGTTTTATGGGGCCAAACCAAAGAATCAGATATCAATTAATATTTCGATGTGATATTTTTATGATTGGTTGAATCGACTATTACATATTAAGTATATTTTATTTTTGAAATTTGGGGTGAAGGGGAGCATACTTGGCGTTGGTGGGTGAGGCGGAGCTTTTAAACAACAGAGAAAACTGTTATTCTAAATATTTATCCATATCATAAAAACGTATAGGCTGTGATGCAGGAGGGGTCTATGTGTGTCCAAAAGGTCCATGACCTGTCTGAACATGATAAGGAAAAAATTGCCCTCACGTTATCATGTTTATGATGGAGTGGCTTGTAGGCAATGGCCATGTGTCATGTGTGCCACTCTTATAGTGTCCAAACATGTCTGTGGTAACCTCACATGAAGCAGGTTTGCTCTCTTGTGCAAGCGTGGCCGCGTGCACGAGGAAGCACAACAGGTGAACAGAGTGTATTATGGTCAGGATGCTGTCAATAGGTAGTAGCCAACAAGTATCTTCATGGGAGTTACTCACAGTGTATTTTCCATCAGCAGCCTCGTGAAACAAACACGACTTTGTGAGGTGAAACAGTTATGAAATGTTCTAATAACGGATTATGATAGAGAGGAGAGTCAGTTCACCTGCTGTGCTGATGACGGCTGTAGCGCTTTCGCTTTTTTTTTAACCAGCTGCCTTCAATGACTTCAATTTTGTAATAGAAAATGTGGAATGAAAATGCCATAATTTCAGATCGTGAAAAAACAAACTACCAAAGGGCAACGTGTTGTTCGGTTACAATGATGGGATAATTTAAGACGATGTCATGTGTTCCAAATATTATCATTTCCACACACACACAAAAAAGTCTTAAAGATCTGGAGTTTACGCGGAGCTTGAACGCCGCACCAGTTGACCGGAAAGTACTCACAGCTGGACTCTGCTGAGTGTGAAGTGAAGTGGAATCTGTTTTAATGAACATAAGTGCGCCTTTACCGTTAGTAACCATTAGTGGAAGACAAAACATCGCTTCCACGATATGCATTGATTCAAGAAAAATGTATAGGCTACTTAAATCGACTTGTTGTAATAGAAACACGTTTTTTCTGGGGGGGGGGGGTCTCAGAAAAATGATGTTCTCTTGTCAATGCCCCTTGTCAATCATTTACATTCTGTTGTGTAAATACATATGTCATTCGGGAGAATCAATAGGGCAATGGGTCATTGTACACGTTTTATTTGCCTGCCGTGTCAAACATCCGTGTGATTGTGAGAGTCGTGTACGCGTGGTCTGATGCCGGTGGGATTATTACTGTAAACCAGGTGTTTTCAGAGAAGCTTCCAAACATGTTTTGTTTTTTTAAGTCGGTCCGGACAATGTTAACGTTTCCACTGGTCTGAGCAAACTGTTTCTGCCCGACCCGCCTCTCCCTCCAACCC